ATGTGCCATCTTGGTGAAATGATCTATTATCATAAATATAGAGTCATAAGAATTTGAGACTCAAAGATCCTTGATAAAATCCATAGAAACAAAAGACCATGGTTGTTCTTGAATAGGTAACAATTGGAAAAGTCAATAAAGTCAATAATAAAGAGTTTTTGACCTTGAAAAAATGTTACATAACTAAACAAAGTCTTTCACTCCCTTTCATACTTGTGACTACTAAAAATCTCTAGATATAAGTTTTAAAGTCTTGTTGTATCCAAAATGTCAAGCCGTTGGAAAGTTATGACATATTTAAAAAATACATAAACATGCTTTTCCTTCTAGAATGTATAAGTGTCTTTTAAAATAGAGTAGGTTTTTTTTGAACTTGAACTTGGAAGCATCATAAGACTTAGAAGAAAGATTCTTGGTATCATAAATGAAAGGATCAGAGGATATACTTGATCAAAACTACTTGACAAGAGTTGAATCAATAGTCAATATTGATTTTATTGCTTGAAGATGAAAATGCTCCAACATCAAGAGAATCATGCTTTGTTGATGAAAAGATGTATTTTCTTCTTATGATACAAGAAAAAAATATCTAAAAAAGGCGTCTAACAAACTTTAGTATTTTTTGGGTCGATAAGTAATCTTAAAATCAAATCTTGATAAAGACATACTCCAATTGACTTGGCCATGAATCAAAATAGGTTCTTATATAAAATATTTAAGATTCTTATGGTTGGAATAAATAAATATTGGATTAGAAGCACCTTTTAGATAATTGCATCATTCTTCAAAAAAAATTATAATTGCAAGAAGTTCTTTGACACAAATCTTATAGCTGATCTTGGCTATTAGAAATTTTCTTGAATGAAAAGCTATTAGATGAAGTTTATTATCTATTTCTATATATAATAATATGGCATCCAAAGTAAAGTTTGATGCATCTATTTTGAAACAAAATATCTTACAAGAGTCAATGTAATATAAGATTGGTGTAAAAATAGAGGTTTTATTCAAAGCTTTAAATATTACTTTTACTTCTTGATTTTATTAAAGTTTGTTTTTATAAGTCAAATGGATAAGTGGAGTTGCAACTTGAGAGAAGTTCTTGATGAAGATCTGGTAGTAGTTGGCAAATTCCACAAAACATTGGACATTTCTTACCATTTTTGAAATCTTCCAAACTATAATAGTTTGAAATTTTTTAGGATCCATCATTTGAAATGATGTATTCTAAGAAGTCGACTTGAGTAGTGTAGAATATACACTTTTCTATCTTGGCATAAAGTCCTGTATTTCTTAGTTTTTGTAATACACAACAAACATAAAATTCATATTCTTATATATTATTAGAATAGATTGAGACATCATCTGGGTTACAAACAACAAAGTCATCTAAAAACTCTCAAAAAACATCATTCATTAGATATTCAAAAGCTATTGGTGCATTTATAAGTCCAAAAGGCATGTCATTATATTCAAAATGTTTATACATTGTTCAAAATGTAGTCTTCTATTCATCTCCTTTTTTGATGCATACCAAATTGTATGCCCCTTATAGATCTATTTTTGTATAGATCTTAGATTGATATAATTAATCAAGAAGTCTTGATATCAAAGGTAGTAGATATCTATTCTTGATGGTGATTTTATTGAGTCCTTGATAATCGATACATATTTGCAATGATCCATCTTTTTTCTTTACAAATAAAATTAGAACTCTTGTCGAAAATTTGGAATGGCATATAAAGTTCTTGGCTAGATTTTCTTCAATATACTTTTTGAATTTAGCCAATTTATTTTATGATAAATTATAAATTGGTCCAAATGGCACTTGAGTTCCTTCTTAAAGGTCAATTGAATAATCATAGGGATAATATTTTGGTAGAGTATCAGCATTCTTTCTCTCAAATACATCTTGAAAATCTTAATATTGGCTTAGAATGTCGCTTGAAGTCTTTCTACTATTTGAAATGGATACAATATGAATGACATAAGATAATCTTTTTTTTCTAACATGCAAGAAAGCTTTTGCACCTACAAATATAGATTTAATTATAGTAGACTTATGTCTTTCTACTTGATCAATTATATTCTTAGTTATACTTTCAAATAAATCAAGACTACAAGAAATTCAATCTATTTTTGGATTATATTTTTTTAGCAATGATAAATCTAAAATTATTCAATTAGAAGAAGATTTAATCATATTAAATATTACAAAGCTACTATAATTATTATTTATTGCTTCTATAGGAAGAGTTTCATGAATAAATTTTTTTGAAGACAATGGACGACCATCTGTGACTTCTATATGAATATGTTTAGTTTTCTTCATTAAAGATATGCTATATCTTTTAGCAAATTCTTCATCTAAGAAACAAGCTGAGGCTCTTGAATCTAATAAGGTAGATGCTTTGTGATGTTAAGGTCCTAAAATAATATTTATTGTAAAATAAAGAGAAGGTTCTGAGGAGAGAATAAGACCTTCATTAGATATTGTATAAGGTTCTAGCTACACTGTCCCTATTATAGCTAGACAAACTTATTTTTTGACATACTATTTTCTTTGATGGTAGTATTCCTCATTTTGTAATTGCATCCCTTCTTTGGACAATGTTGAGCAGTGACACCAATTGCATGAAGTAGTGAAGAGTGCTAGCCCTGATTATATTGCATAAATTCCAAATTATTGATACAAATCTTGATTTTGAACAACAATTAAAAATTCATTCCAAATCCTAAGAAAACAAGACTTAGAACTTTGGAATAAGCTTGAAGCTAGCTTACAAACTCCAATTGCCGATCTTCAAATGAATCCCTATTTTGCTCTAGGCAGCCATTTTAGTGACTAGAGGTTTGATTTCAAGTATGTTCCACAAATGGTTAATCTTCGGATATCAATCCAATCTATCCTAGGGATTTTTTAGTTTGATCTTATCTTCAACTTAAGTCTAGTATCAATTATATTAATTATTTATCTTTTTTATACTATTTTTTTTTTTATCAATTTATGGCCTTTCTAAGCCAATAAAAGAAATTTAATAGTTTAGAAGGTAAAATTATTAACCAACCTTGAATCTACTAGCTATTAAGATAAGAAAATAAACTAAGAGATTTTTATAAAAGCCATGCTTAAATGTCTTGAATTACTATTGAACTAAGATGATTAAATATTAATTAAAATTTTATTTTTGATTATATTTTTACCATATAGTTGTATTACAATATGGCAACAATATGGTGCATATATAAGAAACTTGTCTTGCAAATTAAAACATATGCTTTATAAAATGAACACGTATTGGAGATCCTATAGAACATTGTCATATAGCTCCTTATTAGATAGTAAATATAGAAGCAAGAGTAAAGCCTTCTTCATTGTTGTCATTGCTTTTTTAGTCCTTAGTCTTGTTTTAAGACTTTTTAATATTCTTGTCTTTAGCAATAGCCATTCTAGTTCAATATATTACTATCTTTGAGTGACTTTTTAATCTTTTTGAGTGATACAAGAGTGTATTGAGTTTTCTTTCTTTGAGATTCATGTCCTTGACACATCCTTTCCTATGACCTAGAAGAAGCCATGATCTAATTTGCGACTTAAATTCAATTCTTTTCCAAGTTCTTTTGAGATACTTGTCACATAGTCTTATATGATTTTTGGTAATTGATTGTCTTCCACAATATATGCTATTATGACTTTCTTTTAAAAATAATCCATTTCTTTTGGTACTTTGGCCTCGTTTAATATCACCCAAACAACACATTTTGTTAGTATGAAATCTTTTTTGCTACAAAAAAATCTTTTAGAAAGGATCTTAGTTGGTGATGCTCGCATGGGATGGATATCTATGAGCCGCTCCATTTGTTCAATAGTAGCAACCAATTCAAATTCCAATTATTCTTTCTTAGATCTATTCTTCTTGTACTACACCTTCAATGTTGTAAGAGACAGGGATGCATGTGTCAACTTGCTTTTTAGTATCACAGCATAGGTCGTGGTTATCGTCATGTTGTCTCCTCACACTATTACAATCCCACTACAAATGGTACTATAGGCACTATGACTCACTTTAGTGCAACCTCCACTGCTAGGCTCAACTAAAACCCTAATCCTAAAAAAGTCCTATCCTCAATTGATATCTTACTTGCTTAAATTATTGTATATAAATTTATCAAGTCCTAACACAATGTGTCAGGGTATTGAGCATTGGACCTCGCAATAGCTCGCAGGCCAGATATGTGGTATTACACATCCTCGCAGTAATCCAAGCGCCAGTGAGGAGGAGCTTGCCGGATCTTTCCCGTTTTTTTTTTTTTGTTTTGTTTTGTTTTTTTTTTTTTCCATTTATGCACCTACTGCATATATGCTGAAATGCTTAAGTTATCTGAAATGGGTTGTCTACCTTACGCACAGCAAAGGAGCCCCATCACCATCAGCCGGCGTGCATGCGCTCAATGGATACAACACAGAGATGTCGGTGTGACAGCAACACTGAAATTGAGCACTGCTGAGGAGATTGGAGGCCAAGCGGTGGAGCTACTCCTTGACAACGACCAGGATTCGTCCGCAAGACGCAGATACCCGGACAGAAGTGTTCGTCATCGGGTTGCTCCGCATCTGCGTTCGCAACTGTGTTCGCAACTGTGTTCGCAACGGCATCGCAATGCGGCACTGCAGTAGATGAGTGTGTTCATGAACCATTGGAAATCGTGAATGGCGACATCCGCGAGACATCAGTGAACGTGAGCCGTCTGCGATGCTTTCGCGGCCTCCTGTCCCGACCCCTCCGACGTCTATCTGGACATGCCCTGATGCCGTGAGTGGGTTGGGGTCGAAACTGGGCATGAAGCTTCTGGTCGAGTATATTTTGCTTGGGTGTTGGGGGATCGTTCGCTTTGTTTCATTGGACAGCTGTTAATAGACAAGCCTGCCGAGCACGGCATTGACAGTGGGGCCCACCTTCATGAACAACGCAAGGGTCCTGCAGCTCTCGAGACCTCGAGAACTTATTCGAGATCCTGGGATCCACCATGAAAGTGCGACACAAGGAATTCGTTCCGTGGTGACGGCGCAGCGATTTCGTGAGGTATATTAGGAGGGGTGGGAGAGAGTGGTGGAGTAGAGTCAGCGTAGGGATTGAAATTGGATACGGTTCGTGTTGCGCCTATTCGCGCTGCTGTCTGAGTTGCATGACGGGGAACGTGACGTGGGGAGGACCTGGTGTCGCATCAGCCGCTTGTTTGAATAGGACCTTGTGTCGTTGGGATTAGCGTGGGCGGGAATTGAGAGCGCAGGCGTGAGAATTGCGGTAAGCTTCGGAGCGGGGACGGTCGTGATTGCAGGTAGAAGAGGTTGTAGAGGATTTCTTGAGAGGCTCGTAAAAGAGGGAGAGAGAGAGGGAGCAGAAGAGAGTTGAAGAGCGTGAGAGCTGGATTGAGGTGGTTGTGGAGCGATGCAGTCGCTGATGAAAGTTGTGCTTGCACCTCGAACGGGGTCGGCGACGGAGAGCGAGAGGAGAAAGAAGAAGAAGGAGGATGTTTTGCTGGAGCGCAGTTTGTCGTCTTCATCTCGGTATCCGTCAATGCCGCGGTACCCGCTGTCGCCCTTGCATGGCGAAGTTGACGTCTCGGAGATTCGCAAAGCAAACTTGAAGGTCTGTAATGCAACCCTCACAAAGTGCGGGTTTAGCAGCGGCATTGAAACGCCGGAGTGGCGTGGTTGTGGAGTTGTTTTGGAGTGATTTTCTTGCCTTCTTGTTTACGCCATATCTGGGCAGGTTATCGCCCGGCCTGGGAGGAGGGGAGATCTCTGTTGTGAGTCCCTGTTAAATTCCAGTAGGAACGGTCGTGGTGAAAGTGCTTGGCGCTGGAATAAGTCGGGGATTTCGCGAGAAAAGCAGTGATGAGCACTTGAACATGAGAGCGATGAATGGGAGCAGAATTCCTCAAAGGTCTGTTGCATAGGAGAACCCCAGGGGCCGAAAGCGGATCGTGCTAGCAACGTTTAGCGGCGCCGCTCGACTTTCTGATCCAGTGGTAGAACGTGCGTGGGGCTGGTTCAAATGGGACATGTGTGGTTTGGCAATTGATTCCACGGGGTCGTCATTTCATATGTATGTGTTGATTGGGTGTACAGGTTACAGGGATGGAGTGCGCAGCGTGTGCGGGGTCCATCGAGAAAGCCGTGAAGAGGTTGCCCGGCATCGAGGAAGCAACGGTGTCAGTATTGCAGAACCGGGCTCAAGTTGTGTACAGGCCCGCCTTCGTACAGGTACAATTCCTCCCACTCCGTGTTGTTCAGAATTCCGTCGGGACCGGTGAAGCGGGGATCGTTCGCGCAGCACGCGGTGCAATGCGGACGGCAAGAAGATGCTTGTAGCAATGTTGTAGGAAACGACTTGAAAGGTGTGCAGTGAGGGGTGCTCCAAAACTTTGCATGTGGTGAGAGGGTCAATTTAGCAATCCGCCAGATGGACCGTGGCAGCTAGGAGCTCAGAAGTAAGATGGATGTGGGCAGCGGTGGAATTGGAAGGCATTGAATCTTACACGGGGAAAGTGGAATCCAGGAGGAAAGCATTCGGGAGGCGATCGAGGACGCGGGGTTCGAGGCGGAAGCAATTGTGGACGATGCCGGTCAACGGAGCGGGAGCATCAGCCGTTTTCGTATCAAGGGCATGACGTGCACCTCTTGCTCAAACTCCATAGAGTCTTCGCTGAAAAAGCTGGATGGAGTGCAAAAGGCCGTAGTAGCCCTCGCCACGGAGGAGTGCGAGGTGAGGCACGATGCTGGAGTGATTTCTCACGTCCAGCTTGCCGCCGCCATAGATGACCTGGGTTACGAGGCCGAGCTTCTGATCGCAGGTGAAGAGACGAACAGAATCCGTCTGCAGCTGGAAGGCGTGACGGCTGCAGCGGACTTCCAGCTCGTGAAAGAGATGCTGGTGGCTCTGTCCGGCGTGACATCGGTGGATTTGGATTTCAGCAATGCGATGGTCACAGTATCGTACGAGCCCGACAGGGCTGGGCCGAGGACTTTCATAGAGACCATCGAGCAGGCGGGAGTTTTCACAGCGAAGTTGGAGGCACCTCGTGGTCGTGGGAGTCACGACAGGGGCTTGGAGATCCAGCACCACAAGAAGTACTTCCTTTGGAGCTTGGTGTTCACGGTCCCAGTGTTCTTTTTGTCCATGGTGTTTATGTACATACCAGGCATTATGGAGGGTCTGGAGCACGGCAGGCTGAACGGCTTGTCGATCGGAGCTTTGCTGCGGTGGATTCTTGCGACTCCGGTGCAGTTCGTTATCGGGAGAAGGTTCTACGTGGGAGCGTACAAGGCGCTCCGGCGAGGGTCGTCGAACATGGACGTGCTAATTGCCATGGGCACGAACGCAGCGTACTTTTATTCTGTGTACATAGTGTTGCGGGCGGCTACGTCTCCTACGTTCAAGGGCACGGATTTTTTTGAAACGAGCGCGATGCTCATTTCGTTTATCATCCTGGGAAAGTATTTGGAAGTAATGGCCAAGGGGAAGACCTCGGAAGCCGTTGCCAAGCTGATGGACCTCGCTCCGGACAAGGCGACTCTGCTCACTCTGGACGAGGAGGGGGACGTGGCAGGAGAGAGGGAAATCGGGGCCGAGCTCATCCAGCGGCGAGACATCATCAAGGTAGGCCTACGCGCTGGTGTTGTAGGTGCTACGTTTCAGGCTTGGGCTTTCGCTGGGGGTTGTTGGATGCGGCTGTCCATACCGATTCGGAGAGTCGGACGGTTGGAAACAGAGTCGGGTTTGTATGTGGGCCATTGTAGAAGCTTGTGCTAGAGAGTTGCGGTGCGTGTCGTTCCCGTGAAGCGGTCCTAGTGGGTAGCGTGGCAGCCATGATTGTAGTTGTGCCCGTTCTTGCAATGAAAAGTCGTTTTGGCTTGCGCAGGTGGTACCGGGCTCGAAAGTGCCCACGGACGGTGTGGTGGTGTGGGGACAATCCTTCGTGAACGAGAGCATGATAACAGGCGAAGCCCGCCCCGTACCGAAGAAATTAGGGGACAAGGTGATAGGAGGCACCATGAACGACCACGGCGTGATACACATACGAGCCACACACGTAGGGGCGGAGACCGCATTGGCACAAATTGTGCGGCTGGTGGAAGCCGCCCAAATGGGCAAAGCCCCGGTCCAGAAGTATGCGGATCGCATCTCCACTTACTTCGTCCCCGCCGTGGTGGTCGCGGCTTTCGTCACGTGGCTGGCTTGGTACGTTGGAGGCAAAGCACGCTCGTACCCAAAGTCATGGATTCCGGCTGCGATGGACGAGTTCGAGCTGGCACTTCAGTTCGGGATATCAGTGCTCGTCATCGCGTGCCCCTGCGCCCTCGGCCTGGCCACACCCACCGCAATAATGGTTGCCACAGGGAAGGGCGCGACGCAGGGGATCCTGATCAAAGGGGGTCAGGCACTGGAGGCTGCACACAAGGTGAAGACGGTGGTTTTCGACAAGACCGGGACGCTGACAATCGGGAAGCCCATCGTCGTTCACACCAAGCTGCTCACGAACATTCCTCTGCACGTGTTCTACGACACAATCGCAGCAGCGGAGGTCAACAGCGAGCACCCACTGGGAAAAGCGATCGTCGCGTACTCCAGGAAGATCAGCGGCGAGCATTCGTCCCATGGTCAGCAGCAACACGAGGTGCGTGATTTCGAGGCCATTCCAGGGCAGGGAGTGCGCGCCGTGGTGGACGGCAAGGCGACCCTGGTGGGGAACATGCGACTGATGAAGGAGCACGGGATCCACATATCGGAAGAAGCGGAGGAGCACTTGCGCGATGTGGAGACTTTGGCCAGGACGGGAGTGATGGTTGCCATCGAGAGGGAGTTGGTGGGGGTGGTGTCCATCGCGGATCCAGTGAAGCCGGAAGCAGCCAGAGTAATCAGCATCCTCAAGTCAATGGGCGTGCGCAGCATGATGGTCACGGGGGACAACTGGGGCACAGCCGTGGCGATTGCGAGGGAGTTGGGAATCGAGAGGCCATGCGTGCACGCAGAGTCGTTGCCAGAAGACAAGGCCAGGATCGTGGAAGAAATGCAGGTTCGTGGTTTGCCTGGTGCACGAGCATGCGTGGGGGCTGCGGGGGGAGTTTGACCTGGGGAGGGAACGCGAGCGCCGGGGTGGGATTGGATTGCGTAATGGGGGAAGCAGAGGCGAGTGATGAGGACGCTTGGTGAACAAGCATGCTGACGCTGAGGTTTGTGGGATGCAGGCGGCAGGGACGTCGGTGGCCATGGTGGGGGACGGCATCAACGATTCGCCAGCGTTGGTCGCAGCGGACGTGGGGATGGCGATAGGAGCGGGGACGGACATCGCGATCGAGGCGGCGGACATCGTGCTGATGAAGAGCAACCTGGAGGACGTGATCACAGGGATAGACTTGTCACGGAAGTCGTTCTTCAGGATCTGGCTGAACTACGTGTGGGCGTTGGGGTACAATGTGCTGGGCATCCCCATAGCTGCGGGGGCGCTGTTCCCAAGCACGGGGTTCCGGTTGCCTCCGTGGGTGGCGGGTGCAGCCATGGCGGCGTCATCGGTGTCGGTAGTATGTTCGTCGCTGTGGCTGAAACGCTACAAAAGGCCGAAGGTGGTGGAGGAGATAGACACGAGTGTACAGCGGTAGTAGGCGCGGAGCACGTTCCAGTGCCTTCTCACAGTTTTGCGAAGCAGATCAGTTTTGCACAGCGTCTTCGGGGAGCTGTATTTCAGGCGGCGCCCGCTCGTGCCTGGGCTCAGGGGCGGGTGTCGCCTCAAACACAGCGCTCTGGGTGACATGTAAATAGATATATTTTTTTTTCATTTTATAGTATTTGTGTTCACCTTTGATAATTTTAGGGTAGGATTTTTTATTCATTCATTAGTTTATTTTGTTGTGGGCATTTTTATTGATGATTTTATTTTGAATATTTTATGTATCTTAAAATTCTAGTAATTGATACTCAAATCATTATATAATTCGAATTAAATGGGATTCATCTACAGATACTTGTAATTTAATACAATTTTTCTTGTTCAATTTCGATTCTTTTGACTATGTGCATTTACATTGTTATCGCCTAATTTTATGTTTTCTAAAGTGAACAAATCTTACTACATAAGCTACTTTGAAAAGGAAAACAGTTTAAAAATGGTATTGCTTGAGTAAAAATCCAGATATACTTAAAATGTTTCTCTTTATATAACTATTTCAAGAGTCCATTCTATATCACATCAAATCAATTTGAAAACAAATATCATCAAGCTCCACACTCTAAATCCTTAACAACGAAATGGCTTTTTAGCAAATTGTCATTTTAAAAAACATATAAAGAAAACATGTTTAATTTGTTTGTCATACAATTCACACACACATACATACATACATACATACATACATACATGTTTGTATGTATCTACATATATATATGAGAAGAGTACACATTTTCTGTTTCCCTATGGACAAGGTTACAGTATTACCTGTTAAGATTCAAAGTGTGAACACACTTGGTACAACCACCTGGCATCTTCTAGCAATGCCATACCATTCTAGGCAAAAATGTTAGCAATTTCAGCAATTTTTTAACACAACCCGCAATACTCGTAATGAAGCTTTAAATGGTGTAGCAAATAAAGAGATCAGAAGTAGGATTTAGAGCTCTTCTCAAAGAGGGCAAAGTTGGACATCCACTTTGAAAACCCCGTCGGCGGTGAACACGATGCTGTCGCAAGCAGTCAAGGTTCGAAGTAGTGTACACGGAGTAAGCTCCGTGTAGATCATCGGAGTTGCGGACAACACGAGCTCCATGGACTACGAGAGGGGTACCATCGGAGGTGGGGGGAGGGGGGGGGTTCCATGATGGAAAAAGCGGGGGATTAGGAAACTCATGATACAACTCCAATCATTACTAACAACAAAATAACTTACTTTCTTTGAATTACATAAGATATCTTCAATGTCTTATAATTCCTTCATCTAGACTTAGAATTTATCAAACAGTATATGAACAGTATAGCTTAGAAAGTGCTCTCTCTAATCCTAATCGCTGCCCTTCATTGTTCTTTGTAAGCATATGTTTTGCTTCAAAGAATGACAATAGGTACAAAATTGACACTTTAGTTTTCAACACCTATAACTCCTTCATAAAAACTCCAAATCATACAAAATTTGCATCCAATCCATATCCAAAAACCTAAACTTGCTGATCCTAACCTCCAAAGTTCAAATGACCTTGGAAGAGAAATCATTATCCCTAATAAGGACTTGAGTAGCCTCCTTAAAGTCCATTGGCCATGACATTCAACTAATAGGGATGAAAATCTTTTTTCTTTGCCTTCATTTAACCATACTTTGCTTTCATCCTTTCCAATAAGCCTCCTTATAGTTTAGACTTTCATCTTTAGACTCCAACCTTTTCTTAAGCTTTATACTAAATATATAAATCTTACATAATATAAATACTATAATAAAAATAGTTAAACCTCTAAATAAATTGTTTTCTATCTTTTTGACCTTGCACAATTCATATGCCACATGTTAAAGGCTCATACCAAAGTCTTATTGAAGAACTGTGCCAATAGCAAAGTTGGAAGCTTCAATGTCAAGTATACATGAAAGATTGGGATCATATGGTTGTAATATTGAAGCAGTACAATCTAATGAATTTATATTAATTTTTAACTTTTATGTTGATGATTTAATCATCTTAACCAATATCTTAAAGATAATAGATTTGTTGAAAATAAAGTTAAAAAAGAAGTATAAGATGATTGATTTGAAAGAGCTTCACTATTGTTTAGGAATAGAATTTGTGAAAGATTATGCTAAAAAGATGATAATAATAATCCAAAGCAAGTACATTGAAGATGTGTTGAAACGATTTAACATGAAGAAATGTAAGCCTACATATAAACCTTTGGAGGCCAATTTGATGTTGATGAAGCTCATAGATGAAGAATTTGCTAAAGTTGAAGGTCAAATGCTAGATATTCCATATTAGATAGCAATAGACTCACTTATGTATGCAATGGTTGGCACAAGGGTGGATCTTGCATATGTAGTGAGTATTATGAGCCAATACATATCAAAGGCTAGAGCAATCCCTTTGGCAACCATTAAAAAGATTATGAAATACTTAAAAGGTATTTTATATTTTAAATTATATCTTGAAAGTAATAACATTACTTTGCATAGTTATTGTAATGCGGATTGGATTAGAGTTGCAAATGATAGAAGATCAATAACGAGGTATGTTTTCTTTCTTGGAATGAAAGCAGTTTTATGAAATTGCAAGAAACAAGCAACAATTGCAAGATCAATAATGGAGGTAGAATACATAGTAGTAAATTATGATACAATGGAGATAATATGGCTTAGACAACTTTTGGAGGGCATTGGAGTAGTACAAATAGAAACAACAATAGAATGTGACAATCAAGGATGTTTTGCGCTTACAAAGAATCCAAAGCATCATCAAAGACCAAGTACATTGTCATTTAACATTACTTCATAAGTGAGAAGATTGAAATGAGAGTGATTAATATAAAGTATTATGCAACAAAAGACATACTTGTTGATTTGTTGACAAAGACATTAGTAAAGGATAGGCATTGCATGTTAATAAAAGAATTAGGATTGAAAGCCTTTGACCAATAGAAAAGTAAGAGTATTAAAATAAGTAAATAAAAATAAAAATAGAATAAGTTATAATACAACACCCTTGCTGCAACAAATCTCATTGCAATCTATAGATCCAGTCGTGAAAATTGCTCCTTTGAAGTTGAGTGATCCAAACTACCGCGGCGACCAACCCCCTTCACTTAGAAATTTGCTAAAAATTCAAATTATCTTCAAATCCAGCGAAACTTATGCCCTTCAAAGCTTAGCTTATAAATCTTGATGCTTCCGAAATTTCAAATGAATCCAGCAATCAAGCACTGATAAATGTCTTCCTAAACTCGATTAATCCAAACTGCGAAGGTTGTCAACCCCCTCACACTCAAAATTTCACCAAAAATTTAATTCAACTCTGAATGGAGCGAGACTTCTTTGTCAAAAAGCTAACAACAAAAGCTAAAACCACAAAAAAAATCACATTAGAACTAAAATAATTGAATGACTGATGGAGGGAAATCTGAGGCTCTTGAAATCCTTGGAGTAATTGAGAGGCCAAAGGAGCTATTCACCACAATGAAACGTGTTTTAAGACCCAATGACTATCATTCGCAACTCAAAATCCATCCACATCCACCCATAAAATTCATAATGAGATTTAAAATCTAAATGAAATTAAAATTAGGATTTTTGGCCAAATTTTAGCATGGCTTCATCCTTCACCAAAAGAGAAGAGAGAGAGGGCTTGGAAAACCAAGCCTGTCTTATACAATTGAGTGGAGGCTCGTAGAAGGGTGGCTACATCTCCACCCTTGATTTTTCAGATTCCTAATCTAGATCTATGGCCTTCATTCATCCAAGACCAAATCTCGTTACCAAGGCTGATAGCCCTTGTAAGTAGTTAAGAAGGCATTTTTTTTGCAAATCTAACTTCACTATTGTGTTCAAAACACCTTTTTAAGCTAAGATCGACTACTCTTATGCCCCAATCCATGCTCAATTATAATTTCCATGGAAGTTTTTACTTATAAGGATCTTGGCAATTTTTTTGTGAAATTCTTCAAAATGAGAATTTCATTGCTTCTCTTGTATTTAGAAGGAGAGGTTGCTGATCTTGTTTTCTTCACTCCACGAAGTAAATCCGGTGCCACCATTGCATTAAAGAGACTCCCATTAAGTAGAAGAACCACCATGCCGCTTAAATTTGCCGAATTTGGAGGAAAAATCCAAAATTACCATTGCTAACTTTCCTAAATCTTTTAGAGAATTATAATTCCAACCCCTAAATCATGTGAATTATTATAGACGAACTCATTGGCTTTTAGTCAACCCTTATAGTAATGACCAACAACCTTTAAATTATTAAACTAACTAAGTTGCTATTCTAATTTTCTAACTCTTGTCACTTTAGTCCTAATTAATCTAATTCAAAAAATTAGGCTATGATTTATATCATGAGGGATTGTAATCCTAAAAATTCTATAAAATTGAATTCTACTTATATAAATCCTAATCTAACATGTTTAATTATTATAAAATAGGAAAATAACAAAAATTTAAATTTTAGAGTATAATTGAGAGCTAACATGTGGTGCACCATCTGTGGGCTATTTGCCATGCAAATAGAATGGACCCTTGAGTCTCTTACAAGTGAAGGTAGTGTCTTTTTCAAGGGCACATGGTCAATTGAAATTCGAAGAATAAGATTCTTAAAAATAATAAAATCATAATATAAAATCCGATATCAAATCCTCTCAACTCTAATATCCATTTATTAATATTATAAATTAAAATATTGGAACTCATCCTTCTTCCTCAAATAATGTCAATTTGGAGTACTATAGAAAAATAATTAGAAGTTAAAAAGTTGAAAATAAAAATAACCATATCCTCCCTTCTTAGAGCAAATTCTAACCTATAAATAATAAATTAATTCAATTGGCCTCCCTCCTCCATCAAAGTGGATTTGGATTAAAAAAAAAGAAGTGAAAACGGAAGAAGAATAATAAAATAAGAAGTTGTTAATTACTACATGAGAAGCAATGTCTTTTTCTTAGCAATTTGGACCTAATCTATGTAAATCATCTAATACAAGTTAAGAAAGTGAAATAAGATTGAATAATAAGAGCAAAAGATGAAAATTACTCACTCAATAGCGTCCACACTATATCTTGGGCCTATCTCATGGAAGAATATTCATATTATATTTTAATTTTATGTATTTTTAATAAATGTGTGAATGCCCTATAAATCATACTATCTCGCTTAACTTCATAATATTAACATCCTCTCTTGGAACTATAAAGAAATAAAAAAAGAATAAGAGAAGAAGAAAAATTTGAGATATAATAAGAATATTATAAAAAGAGGCACTTAGCTAGTATTTCACCTTTGTAGTTGCTAATAAATTCCCAATCAACCGTCTT